AGCAGACTACAAGCGTACTTCTAAGCAAACAGCAAGCTCGTCATTGTGCACAGTACATAACGCATCGCATATAGCCCACTTATTGATAAAAACCTGTAATTTATTACTTATTTTGAAAAAGTTAAATTCGGCTTTTAACCTTGAAATGAAGCGCTGCTTAAAGATTTCAAGTGGTTCGATTACGCCATTTTCTTGGCGTTTGTTGCGCCTACTGATGTGGATCGAAATCTTAGCAGTACAGGCAATATAATTAAATAATTAGAATAGAATCTAGTAGAAGTGGGAAGAAAGCAATTTATTGAAGGTATCTCGTAAAACTAGATAAATTGATCCGGATATGATTGCAGCCTTTTCAGAACTCACAAATTCAACTTCTGTATTAGTCTATTTTTTGAATGTTTTTATTAAGATGATTGAAACACCCGACCTGAATGCCGATTCATTCATGTGTGCGTTTATTTTATGCTACTTGTGCGCATGCACGGCGTAATCTAGGGTCATCAGTTACTCTTTTTCAATTATCCGTAACAGTGTTTTCCCTCTAGAAAATTATGAGATAGCTATATTGGGTTGTGGCTGTGATTCGTTCGTCATTCACCAGTTCTGGTTTTGAGCTATTGTGCAACACTGGCGGACTTGGATATATGTGTACGTCATCTATCACCACGATACATGTAATTATTTGAGCGATTAAGTCAAAGGAACAACAGAACACATTTTATTTTATCAATAATAAATATATTAGGAAGAGACGTGAAAAGATAATTAAATTATTGTTCATAATGTAAATCGGAGGGGTATAATAGTGAAAACATTGAAATATAGATTTTCCATACACTGATAACCACATACAATCCAATACCCAAGCAGTTATTATTATACTTTGGTTTGCTCCATATTTTATTTGCTATTTAGGAGCTGGTAGGCCTGAACCCCCTTCCTGTGGTTATGGATGTATGAATGGTGGCATGTGCGATTGGACCGGATATAGCGAGGATTACAACTGTGTCTGTCAAGATGGTTATACCGGCAGATTCTGTGAAAATGCGTAAGTATTCATTCTTGGTTATGACCGTGAAGAATTTCCATGTAAACAATATATTTTGCATGCTTTGTATACGTCACTATGAGTCCCATATCGAACAGGATTCGGCGCGGCTACCACCGCTCTTTAATTCGATGGAGAAAATTGGAGTTGAACCGGTCGATTGACGCGAACGGAATGGAAATTCACTTTCCTAGAAAGTGATTGAGGTGTTCTATGTTCAAAATAATATTTATAAAACTAAAAATACACACAAAAAAACAATATACAGTGGATTCATCCACTCAAATTATTAACAATTTTATTCAGTTACATTCAAATATAAAAAGCCAAACATTTCAGTTTTTCCATATGTCGCGCCCTCACAGTTATACACACGAATATTGTTCGATCTGTTTTTATATTACTTTTGTGTGTAAGTTTGTGTAATTTTTTCCTGTCGTTTTCCATTTAGCCACGTCATTTGTTTACAGATTGTATGTATCTACAAGTTTTTAGGGCATTGTAACCATTGTCATTCTAATAACAGACAACTGACAAAGTTTCTTTGATTTACTCTAGAAATACATCAGTGTTCTGGGGAGGGAGATTGCTCAAATAACGGTAACTGCGAAGATGATGGTTATGGTAATATGTTTTGCAATTGCAACGCTGAATATACTGGATTTTATTGTGAAACTCGTAAGTTATTATATAGTCAGTAGCATACCGTCACGTGATTAAGTATAATTGGCACTTTTCATGGCTAATTGATACATTTTATGGACAAAATAACTTTAAAATATATCTCATAGCAGCATATAATGTTCATTGTCAATTGTCTTTGCGGAAGTACAGTTTTAATTAATATATATTTTTTTTACTGTCTATATAAAGTGATCAATTTCTGTTATTAATTAATCGATTGGTTGACTATATTTGTATTTCCCGCCGATTTAGAGTTGTCGTGTATGTCGGAAGAATGTAGAAATGGTGGTTACTGCATGGAAGACGCTGATGGTGTATACTATTGTAAATGTCCAGAGGGATACACTGGAACCAAATGTGAAATCGGTACGTATGTATAATTGATAGCGACTTACAATGACATGACTCTGCACCATACTACACATCTGGAAAGTACCCATTCAAATGCATACGTGACTCAATAACTAACGAACATGTCATCTGAAATAAACAGAATCAACATGTGTGCTCAACACTCGTGTACTACACATATTACGTAATACATGATATATGTTCCCTGTAAATGTACATTGTACGACTATATTATTTTGAAACGCTTATTAAAAGCGTACGTTTCTGTTCATTTGGTTTAATTTTATTTGTCTTAACACTTTGGTGATTGTATATAGGCAAGTCATTAGTGTTTTAAATTCAGTTGGCACTGTACAAATGATACGCCAATCATACACGTGCTCGTGACCGGAAGCTAGTTTCAAGTTGTCAAACAATAGCTGTCCCAGATTTGCCTTAAATGGCTATAATTAACTGTAACAATTGCTATTGTCATATTTCAGCCATACCATCGTGTACCAGTTGTTTGGTAAATACCACGTGTTATTCTGATCCGTGTGAATGCCAAGGACGAAATTGCCCTGATCCAGAACAAATACGTTACAGTAAGTTTTGTCACTTTGTCACTAGAGGGCGCAATGTATTGGAAAGATTTATTGCGTTTTCCAGTATCAGCATTCTAATGTATGTATAATATGTATCTTTGAGATTATATCTACTTTATTTTACTCGCTTTTCATATTCTTCTTCTTGTCGCTCTATACTTCCTGTTCCCACGTGTTTTTATGATTTCAAGCGCAATAAGTGCTAGCTAGTCCGCGAATAGGAGACGCTATCATGTCATACAACACATAACTTGCTTTCGTTTATCACGCCTAGGCCAGACTTTTTTATTCCTTGTTTCTCGAGTTTTTATAAGGCAATTTTTTTGAGGAGGGCGGAAAAAAAAAATTAATTCTTTTTTTCCATTAGATTTGTGTGATTCTCAAAGAATTGTAAGTGAGATCATTGATCGGAGAGAAGAAATGAAATAAAATTTTATTCCATGTATAACCTTGTTTATCATCTACGCGAGACTTCGGTACTTTGATCATGATACTCCCACGAAAATGCAACTTGGGTTTGTTATTCCAAACACTAGTGTATTTGGTTATGCGGCGGGCGGAAAAAAAATAAAGATAAAAATAAGTTTTTTTAGCAATTTTTTGCACTTACAACTTGAAGTCGCGGGCGCGAGAAATTACGCTGAGATAAAATTGTATTTTTATTTCATTTTCGGCTCCTGTTCATTCGGCGGGTTCGCGAAACAAGGGATAATAAAAGTCTGGCTCTATCAATGCATAAATGTATGAATTTCAACTAATTAATCCGCGAAGACAATCTCAAAAATTGTTTTTGTCTGTAAATAGTTGTGCCAGGTGATAGCTTGTCTCATTTTAGCTCTGTATTTTGTATGTGCATGTTTGAAGCAACACTGACAACGGCCGTCACTGTCTGTATGTTGCCACATAATCCATGTTGCATAATTGCATACATGTGACCTATAATTATGGCAGCCTGCCGTGGTTCGGGCACGTTTGAGCACATGCGGTATTAGCTGAATGCATCTCGATCTATAATTCTTACTTTCCCACTCGAGGTCATGTAGCAATTTGGCAATTTATAAGTTAAAGTGGGGTAGTCGTCACCTGCGCATGCGTCAGATGGCCATAGCGTGTCATTGTTTACAAACAAGCGTCTACCCATGAGCCTTTGCGTTTTTAGCGTGTGTTGTTATCGTGGCTTGGGACTCAATTTCCACGCGTGCGCAGATGACCACCCTCCCGCTTTAATCTTTTTTGTGCACACCTAAATGTAGTATTTGAACACGTTGTGATGTAAACCGTGCATTTTTGTTTTGTTTTGTTTTGTTTTGTTTTGTTTTGTTTAGCTACATGCATCTTCTGTGAAAGCTTTGACTACGATGAGTGTTATTATGACCCTAGGAATAGCCGTACCTTGTTGTGTGAACAGGGTTGCATGGTGAGTATTCAATCAATGTTTCCCCAATCAGTTTTTACGAAATACAGTTTGTCATATATGAGTATACATAAAGTAGTTTTAAGAACAATATGGCCTATATTGTTTATGTCTCCGAAGCAAACACATATATTCACGGTCACACACTTGTGTCCAAAGAATTGTTGCTGTGATAAAAATTAAATACAGTATGATTTTCGTGATGATTAAAATTATTATTATTATTATTATTATTATTATTATTATTATTATTATTATTATTATTATTATTATTATTATTATCATTATTATTATTATTATTATTATTATTATTATTATTATTATTATTATTATTATTGACCCTATCGTGGCACTGTTTGTTTCATGATCGTGCGCGCGGACGTCGACGTCATTCATTTCATAATGTGTAATTATCATTTCAGAGTTTCAGTTATCGTACTGGTGAAGGGATATGGATCGAACGTAGTTGTGCTGATGATGGATGTTGGAATGGGTGCTACGGGGAAGCGGGTACGTACTTTACATTGTAATTTTTTTCCCACTTGTCGAACATATTACATCAAAAAATATTACCATGATAGTCGTACATTCAATGTATTATTATATCTTTCTCACGAAAACATCTTACTTTTGAATTTTGCGGTTTACTATTTTTTTTTCTGATCAGATAATATTGTTCAGCTAACGTTCGGTTACAACTTGTAAACCACTGACTGTCGAATATATTTCATTCCAGGCATGGAACAGTGTAAATCATGTTGCTACGACGATAAATGCAACACCTATGACCCCTTGTTCACCGTGACTATTACTGCAGCAAGCGGCCTTCTTGGCATCAGTGTTGTTGGTACATCTATGGCGTGTGCACTGGCCATCGTCGTCGCCTAGTTACGATACCATTGGCAATAAAAGGCATTTTATATAGTTTTATAAGACTGTTCTTTTATTTTATTGAGTCAAAGTTTTATTCAAAAAATCGATCTCATGTTGATTTTCGGTAAACATCTGAACCCGGATCTAAACAGTCCGTTAACTACGGTTAGTGTAATACTCGAACATGGCGAATTTTAGGTATTTTACCTGCGTCCCCGTTGCGGGTGGTGTATTGTCACTGTGTACATGTGTTACATAACTGCTTATGAAAAAGACAATGACCTTAGAATTGGAGCATCGCATCTGATTCACGTACATATCTAAACTACATGTTGTATTCAACCATAAATTATCAATTTAACTCATTCATGTTCAGTCGAGGGTATCCGCACGTCTTGTTCATCTGGAAATGGCTGTTGGTTTTTTGTAAACACATATAGTTGAGGACAAAGAAACTAGTGAACAGGTAGTGTTTGGAACGAAAAAGGTATGTTTCTAGAAGATGATGAACGAAAACTGCCCGCTATCAAATGTTACACAATGTTATAAATTAGAAACGAGCCAAGTATTAGTAATACTGTATTTAAATCTAGGTTTAGTATAATAAAAGTGTTATTCAAGTTGTTTTATATGTGTGGATATTTATTGTTATCTCAGGCTTAACTAAATCGCTACAAATGAAATATCAAAACAAACTTCCCAGTGAAATTAATAGAAAACCGACAATATAATCATACAATTTGAAAAAAAATAACGTGTTGAAAATAGGAGTGTTTTACCTTGATGTTATCACGGGGCTGTATGAAAAAGACCCATAGTCTCTCCA